CAACCTGAACCACCAATGGTAACGAAAAACCCAAGCAGGGCTCTCATTGCCCTCTGTCCCCTGACCCCCTCACCTTGTCTACGGGCCTCACTAAAGCGTGGGAATAGGTTTTTCATTAAGACTCCCCTGCCCGGAATTCTGAAGATTCCCAGTTGATAAAGCTGGTTGCAAGAACGAACAGAGGTCAGACCTAGGGTTGTAGAATCCTAGCCTGTCTGAGCTGAAAGGAACCTTGGAGACAGTCCCACACCAGCCCTTGATTTCTCCTTTTCCAGAGAAAGAAACTGCCTCTGCCCACACAGCAATCAATAACAGGGCTGGGGCGGGACCCCCCCCACCCCCGCCCCGCTCTGGGCCACTAGATCGTTTCCACCAAACCACAGCACACTCCACATTCAAGTTTGCTCATTTCCTGGCCCCAATTTATCATCCTGGGATTTAACACCCTAAATAAACTGTGCAGAATTCCCAGGAACTCTTTAAGAGTCCAGTCCCACGTGTGTGATGAAAACCATCAGAAACTGCAGACAAGATGTTCACACATGTGACTGTGGATAGCACATCTCTAAGCCCCTCCAGACTCAAATCTTTGATGTCACTGGTAATCTCTTCTTCCAGGATAGAGTACACAGAATTTCCATTTCTCCCCAATGACAAGTAGGAGTTTGCAAAGTTATAAACTGTTTTTCATGACCAAAAGGATTAGTCTCTCTATATCCCTACCTCATGAAATGCAAGAGGTCCAAGAGATCATTTTCAGCCCAAGGAATCAACCACGAAGTTGAATGCAAACATCGTTATTCATTACTCAGCTGGATCTTCTTTGAGAGGGATTTCATCATAACACGATTTGGACAAACTCGCAGAATAATATTAAAACCATAAACTATGTAGAAGTACACATGGTGGCAGGCACAGGATGTAAGTTGGGAACGCTGAAAGTTATTATCACGCTCCAAATTTAGTGTCACAATGTCTAACCACAGCTCATAATGTTACCTATCAGACTGTTTAGGCATCTTTATTTCTTGTCGGGAAAAAAAAGTTGTCTCCTGTCTTGTTGGACAGTCTGAGTATCTATCTTATATCAAAGACAACAAAATATGTAATTTTACGTATTCCTGTACCCATAATTTTAGTACAAAAGGACTTTGAACTCAAACTGAATACTCTTTTTTTTTTTTTTGCGGTACGCGGGCCTCTCACTGTTGTGGCCTCTCCCGTTGCGGAGCACAGGCTCCGGACGCGCAGGCTCAGCGGCCATGGCTCACAGGCCCAGCCGCTCTGCGGCATGTGGGATCCTCCCAGACCGGGGCACGAACCCGCATCCCCCGCATCAGCAGGCGGACTCTCAACCACTGCGCCACCACGGAAGCCCTCAAACTGAATACTCTTGTATTCAGAACTCCATTTGTGAAAGTCACAGCAGAGCAGCAAATGAAGAACATTGTATGTTACATGCAACTTATCTTGTCTTTTTTTTTTCCAGTAAGACTGAAGAAGAGAAAAAAAGTCAGTGTTTATAAGTAACTTCCTAAAGTCTGAAGAATTACCCCTTTCGTCATTGTAATTTGGTGATCAGCTCCTTAAATGTGTAATAAACTGTTTGTGGGAAATGGGACTTTCTATTTGTCACGGAATTTGCAGAGAATATATCAGCCCACTGGAGTTCTTGGCACCATGTGGGTTTTCTGGGTTTGAACTTTGATGGTGCACCAGGACCAAAGAAATGGGGCAACGGTGCAATAAGCCACACAGAGAAAGACAAATACTATATGATCTCACTATATGAGACATCAAACTCCTAGAAACAGAGAGGAGAATGGTGGTTGCCAGGGGCTGGGGGAACTGGGGAGATGTTGGCCAAAGGGTACCAACTCCCAGTTATAAAATGAATGAGTAAGCCCTGGGGACCTATGTACAGCAGGATGATGACAGTTAACAATACTGTATCACAAACTGAAAGTAGCTCAAATGGTAGATCTTCAATATTCTCATCACAAAAAAAAAAAGAAATGGCAATTATGTGAGGTGATGGAGATATTAACTAACCTTACTGTGGCCCTCATTTTATGACATATACATGTATCAAATCATCACACTGTACACCTTAGAATTACACAGTTATATGTCAATTTTATCTCAACAGAGCTGGGAAAAAAGATAACTAGATGGAGATGAGCATCAGATGACAGGGCTAAGATATGTGGGTACCACCTAAGCACTAGAACTAGGAGAACATCTTCTCCTGGTCCTGCCACTTATTGGGTCTATAACTTGTAGCAAGTTACTTAATAACCCAGATTGCTTCCACTTTCTCGTTTCTAAAACCAGGATAACAATAATAATACCTCCTTCACAGAACTGTGGAAGTACTGGCTTGGCCAAAAAGTTCATATCACAGAAAAACCCAAACGAACTTTTTGGCCAACCCAATAAATGACTAAGAGATCTTAGCTGGGCTTCCCCGGTGGCGCAGTGGTTGAGAGTCCGCCTGCCAATGCAGGGGACACGGGTTCGTGCCCTGGTCCGGGAAGATCCCACATGCCGTGGAGCGGCTGGGCCCATGAGCCATGGCCGCTGAGCCTGCGCGTCCAGAGCCTGTGCTCCGCAACGGGAGAGGCCCCAACAGTGAGAGGCCCGCGTACCGCAAAAAAAAAAGATCTTAGCCAACGGGTCCTGGATCATAGTAAACCGTCAAAAATGTTAGCTGTTTCTCTCCTCCTAACACCCAAGGAATCCTTTTCTCCCGGTTCCTAACTTGCCTTTGATATCTTCTCCTTTGGCTTTTCAAACATGAAAGTGTCAAATTTCAGGAAACTGTTGGGTCAAAATCTACACGCACTGTTAAGACTGCTCATGATTCCAAATTGCCCTTCAAAAATACTAGTACATTTTACACTACATGTGCACACAAAGCTGACAGGCGAAACCAATAAGTAATTTCAAAGACCATGAGAAACTTACTAAGTGCACGGAAGCATCTGCTGTGTATTTATTTTCAATGAAAGAAGCTGCAATTATTTTGATAGCTATGAGAAGTGTTTCTATATAAAAAGACATAAACTATCTTGCTTACTCCACTCCAAAAAAAGAAGAGAAATGGGGCGACCATATCATGCCCCTCCCACCCCTCTTCCTTCATCCATTTGTCTTGACCTCACCGTATTTCCGTGAAAGAACAGAAGGCATTAATCGAGTCCCTTCATGGTTCCTTACCAAACCCAGCTTCAGCTGGTCCCACTTCTCCCTTCTTGCCTCTGCTCACAGAAGAGGCTCTGTCCTTCCCACAGACCAGTCACTGCACGTGTGTCAGGACCTAGCTCCCTCTCGCCTCTGATCTGCCTTCAAATCTTCAATGTCCAGACATTCCTCCCTGGATTCCGCATCCTGCATCACCCGCCACTCCCTCACCCCCACTCCCAGCATCCCCACCAGTACAAAAGCACGCACCTGAGCCTCCCATCTTGAGCCAAGAACACACTCTCTTTTTTTTTGGGGGGGGGGGGGGGCGCATGCCCTGTGGCTTGTGGGATCTCAGTTTCCTGACCAGGGACTGAACCCAGGCCACAGCAGTGAAAGCACCGAGTCCTAACCACTAGGCCCCCAGGGAACTCCTGAGAACACTCTCCCTTGACCCCACGCCCCCATCTTCACTCAGGAGGCAGCCTCACACCAGCCCTGCTCCTTCACCACCTGTTCATGAACAACCCACTCCCCTGGGGCTTCTGCACCCACAACTCCATGGAAACTGCCCCTCCTAAAGTTACCACAGTACCTCCTTCTTTGCTTGGATTTGAATGACGGCACCCCCCCAGCATTCAGCCCTCAGACCCACTGGCAGAATTCCACAGCCCCGTGCCCACATTCCCTCAGCACTGACCATACCTGAGCATGCAGTCCCCACGGCTTCAACCACAGGCAACCGCACCCTGCCCGAGGGCCTTTCCTGGTCACTGGAGTGTGCTCAGCTCACATGGGCAGACCAGAAGGGCCGGGGGTCAGTACCTCCTGGAAGCAGCTCTCAACCCATGGCTGACGGGATCGGTGGATGAATACCCCAGCCCCCTCACTGTTTTGGAGGGATAACCTTGAGGCATGTACTACAATACCTACCAGAGTTCCCACACTGGGTTGAGCCCCACTGTGATTATTTAATGCTCTCTTGTCTGGAGTTGCTATGGACCCGAGTCGTGACCCCCCCCACAAATTCATATGTTGAAGTCCTAACCCCAATGTGATGTTATTTAGAGATGGGGGCCTTTGGGAGGTAATGAGGTTTAGATGAGGTCATGAGGGTGGGGCCCTCATGATGGGATTAGTGTCCTTATAAGAAGAGACCCCAGAGATATCGCTCTCCCCCACACTCCCCCCCTTTCCTCCCTCCCCACCTTGTAAGGACACAGTGAGGAAGTGACAATCTGCAAACCAGGAAGAGAACCTTCAACAGAACCCAATCATGCTGGCACCCTGATCTCAGACTTTCCACCTCCAGAATTGTGAGAAATAAATTACTGTGGTTTAAGCCACCCATTCTACAGTATTTTGTTATGGCAGCCTGCACTAAGACAGGGTTAGAAGAGACAGACTGAAGCCAGCTGGTTCAAGTGGCAACAACTAGGCTGGAGATACGAACCCAGGAGGCCTCGGCAGATAGACAAGTTGATGAAACAATAAAAGGGGGATAAGGTACTTTCTATCTCACAGGGTGGTTGTGAGGATTGAAGCAGCTGCCTCACACCCTCCGCTCAGCTCGCATGAGGGCACATAACAAAGGCTGGGTAAGTGGGACAGTTCTTACTGTTCTTATTTGCGGGTCACACAAGGAAACATTCTTAGAATCATAAAATCTCGGAGAGATCATCCAGCTCCTTTGCAGGTAGGGAAACTAAGGCCGAGGCAGGAAAACTGACCTGCCTGGCATTTTTCCACCATTAAAGTTTGTTTTTATAAGATTTACAGACCCAGCAGTAAAGAAGGAAGGTGAGATTTAACCGTACCTTGATAGTCAATTAGACGGGAGCGCACCAATAAACCTTCTCAATGCCAAGGCTGATGAGCTTTGGTCCTGATTCTGTGACTGCTTCCCTCGTCTGATGCTGCTGGTTTCTCCTCCTACTGAAACTCTCCTGACTTGGTTTCCATAAAACAACGCTCTCCTGATTTCCTAGGAAAGAAGAGCGACAGGAAAAAATTAAAAGGCAGAAGGGAAAGTGACTTAGGGTGGGTTCCCTAGAAGCAGAGCCCATGGCAGGATTGGGGTAGCCCTGAGTCCGTGAGGAGGGCTCTCAGGACGCGGGGAGTGAGGGAAGCGGGACAGAGGAGGAGCTAAGAAGGATGCAGCCTTGAGCAGAGGCTAGCCTGATCCCGTGGGGAGCCCTGGAGCATGAACTGCACCAAAAGTTTGCCCTACCTGGCAAAGGAAGCCAGCATTGTGTGCCTCGAGTTAGTCAGTGCCCTGAACGGGCAGCCATGGCAGGAACAGGGGGCGTTCCAGGGCAGCTGCTCACCCGGCAGCCCCCTTTTGGCTGAGGGCAAGTCTGCAAAGAAGGGGGCAGCTGGGAGTCATTAGCACCCAACCTCACAGCCGCTGGTCGAGCCCCAATTGCATCAAAAGGAAGGGAGGGAGGAATGAGGGAACGAAGGAGTGATCCCCAGAGAAGTGCTCTCGAGGCAATAACAATTCTCATTATTGCAATCTTCCTGAAAACCCAACCAAGTCAGGAGGTAGGTGTTACTAGCTAGGTGTTACTAGCTTCAGTTTATTGATGTGGAAAATTTGGGGGGGGGGGTGTTTCCGAGATTTTGAAGGAACAATGAAGTGACCCCCAGCCCCAGAAAACGACCAACCAATGTGAGAAAGTGTCAGATTATTCACTTTTAAAGAGCAGCCCACAGAGCCCAAAAGGACCTCAACAAGCCCTAGTCCTAGAATTAAGGAGCAGGTATCCAAGACCTGAATTCCCTGTACTCCTTAACCTTTCCAGGCCTCAGGTTCCAAGTCTGCGAAATGGGCAGGACATGAACTGACTGTGGCAGCCTGAGGGTGGTCTCCAACAACCTCGACACCGTAATCTCTGGACCCGGTGAATGTTCCCTCGCCTGGCAAAAGGGACTTTGCAGATGTGATGAAATGAAGGATCTTGAGACGGGGAGATGATCTTGGATTATCCAAGCTCTAGGTGAGCTCTAGATGTCATCACAAATACCCGTATAGAGAGAAGCAGAGGGAGATTTGACACAGAAGAGAAGGCTGAGTGAGGACAGACGATTCAGAGAAGGAAGATGCTAAGCGACTGACTGAAGGAAAAGGCCACAAGCCAAAAGCTACAGGAGCCTCCAGAAGCCAGAAAGGCGAGGAAGCGGATTCTCTCTGGAGCCTCCCCAGAAGGAAGCGGCCCCGCCAACGTGTTGCTTCTCAGCCCCGAAGACTCTCCTGGAGCTCCTGACTTCCAGACCTGAGGATAACTTTGTATTGTTTTAAGCCACTGAGTTTGTGGTCATTTGTCACGGCAGCGACAAGAAACTGAATACTGAACATCATTTCACTCTCAGGAAAATTGTGAAACAAGCTAATGTTCCCAAGGCCCGGGGCGAGGCCCGGGGTCAGTGGAGACCTGGGGGGGAGTGGGGATGGGGATTACAGCTCGAGTTGCTCAAATCACAGCTGCTGGAATCCACCGCCTGCCCTGGAGGCTTCCTGCGCGGTGCCACAGCACAACTTCCCGCTCCGTCAGGACCGGGGCAGGAGAAGGATGGAGTTCAGGAAATGTCTGATTGGCTTTGAGTTTTGGGGGTTGCAAATCAGGCATCCTGAGCGTGAATAAGGCTGACTCCCAAGCTGGGCACTGATGGGGGTGGTGACCTACAGAAAGACCTGCAGGCCTGGAAAACGTGTGCAGCCCCGATGAACAAACACCTGGAACACTCAGGCTACTGCATGGGGCTCCAGGGCCCCAGCTGAGAGCAGGATGTGGAGTCAAGGGAGGAGAGCTGTCCCCCCACCTCTGCCACCAGTTTGCCCTGTGACTTTAGACGGGTCCCCCGACCCTGCTCTCTGGGCCTCCATCTCCAGTCTGAGACAGCGGGGGGGGACGCGGGTGAGCCCCAGGGAGCCTGCCTTCTCTGATGCTGGGTCATTTCACATTCCTGGTCAGGCCCGCAGCCAGGAAGGTTGACCCCACTGGACGCTCAAGATTTAGAGGATCACAGAGCCAAAGGCTCAGGAAAAGCAAATCCCAGGGCCTCCCAAAGACAGTTAGAGAGGCAAGACGGAGGACGGACTGTCAAAATATTTTGTCTAAAAACAGGCCGAGACAGCCTGCAAAACGCATACTGCACATGCATCCCAACCAGACAGAAACAGAAAGGAGGGTGCAGCCCTAAAACAGATACATTCACAGAAACAGGAGAACGTCTTCCTCTGGTGGCCTGCCTTAGCCAAAAACACATAAATCGATTCCCAGGGGAGTACGGCGATTGAAAAGGGATCGGGGCTCTGGAAGCGTCTCGATGACAGCACTGCCCAACGAGCTTCCAAAACTCCATCTCAAGGGTGTGGGAAGAGAGAAGCCTCTTAACCAGAGTGGAGGGAGCTGGGGGTGTTGTTTGCACCCTGTAACTCCTATGACAGGAGGAGGAAGCTGAACTTGAAGAGGAAAGTCACATGCTCAAAGTCAGAAAGCTACAAAGCAGCTGAGATGGGATTCAAAATCAGGACTGTTGAATCCCAAGTCCCCCAAGTTCTGAGCCGCTAGGAAAACTGTGGAGATGAATTCAGATGAATTCCTTATAGTAGGCCAACCTCAGTCATTGACGGAAAGTTCTAGAGGTTCTGGGCGCATGCCTAAACTTTGTGATGCTTGTGGTAAAAGGAAGTTATCATGCTGGTCTACAAGCCAAGTGTCCATCACTCTAACAAGGACAAAAACAAGGATGGAAGGATCAAGCACGGCCTAGGTTGGTCCACCAGGCCCCTCCAAGGCCAACAGGCACTGGCTTGCTCTCAGGAAGGACTTTTTATAAGTCAGAGCTGACGGTGGAATGGGTTACCCTAGAGGTAGTGAGCTTCCCATCACAAGGGGTATTCAAACAGAAGATCTTTCCAAACCACAGACTTGACAATATCAACCTCAAGGTTTCAGGCCTTTCCCATCTGCCCTGCCCCAACCCCAGTCTCATGCACACCCCTTTTCCACCAGCATCTTCTCTACACACCTGAACTTCTCACCTCTCAGTCTTCAACCACACCGCCCCCTCTGCTGAAATGTCCATGAGCCTTTTCTATACCTGGGGATTCTAAAACGCTTTTACAGATCTGCTCAAATGCCTCTCTTTGGCCAGCCACACCCTCAAGCCGTTTTGGGGACCTTTCCTCTGCATTCCCCTGCAATTGACTTTATTTACATCCTTCCCCATCTCTTTGGGGATCAGCTAACAACCATGCCTTCGTTCCCCTCGTTACCAGCACCATGCCTAACTCTAAGTAGGCCCCCGTGCATGGGTTTTGCACGAGAGCACCCAGCTTGTGTGGTTTGCGCTCTCCAGCCAAGCTTGCTGCCTTTCCACCTTCCCAGAGGGAAAACCCAGGCCCTGACACACCCACAGCCCTGCCCTGGCTGACCCAGAAAGCTCTAGGCCCACGGGGGGAAGCGGGGAAGCTCGTGGTCAACCTTGAAGCTAAGACCATGACAATTTTATTTTTAAAAATTTTAAAACTCAGGGAAGAAACAATCGGGAAGCTCAATTAGGGGCCTCTGGCCTCAGAAATCATAAAAGTCAGTGGTATTTTAAAAATAATACCTTCCTGACGCTCAGGGGGCTCATGGAGGTTCGCTGGTCCCCAGCCATTTGCACTGCCTCCCTCTCACACATTATAGCGGGTCTCCCCAGCCTCGCTCTGAATTTCTGCTGTTCCAACACTGAAGACAATTCTCTGGCACACAGCCGTGCAGACCAGACAGTGAGTACAGTCCCTCTCCTTCCTCAGAACAGGAATGCAGGGGACTGGCTCTTGGTAAAGAACCCACGGACGGACGGAAGTCACAGCCCTTCTCTTCACATAAATTGAACACGGGGAGCTGCCCAGGGCCCCCTGAGGCAAACCAAGTCCAGTGGAATGTCTCCTATCAAGTCATCTCGTGGAAAACCCCAGCAAACTCTCACGGGGCCTCAAGGACACGATCGGGGTGACCTCCAAGTGGACACCAGTGGATTTGATAAGAATGAAAACACCCTACACTGTGTAGCACTTAGTTATTGCAAATGGGTATCACACATCCCCCTCTCATCTAGTCCTTCCAGGACGTGTCAGAGGAGACGCCATCGGTCTCTCCCCGTGTGACACACGGAGCCTGAGTCCCGGAGAAGGAGAAACAATTCTCCCAGACCAGTTTTACTGATTTCTAACCCCGAGCTCTCCCTTTGATGTCTTGAGAGTTACCACCAGCAGGATCCTCTTCTCAACTCTCCCTCCACAATACCCAGCCCAGGGTCTGCACAGAGTAAGAACTCAGTGCAGTTAACCCTTGAACGACACGGGTTTGAACTGCGTGGGGCCACTTACACGTGGATGTGTTGCACTAGTAAATACCGCAGGACTACACTACCCACCATCGGTTGAATCCGCGGATACCAAGAAACTGTGGACAAGGATGGCCGTTATGAATGATAAGCGGATTTTCAACCGTACAGAGGGCCGGCATCCTTAAACCCCTCCTTGTTCAAGGGTCAACTGTAAAATTTAACTGAGCTCATGTAATTGTATCCCTGTAGTGAAACAGAAAAGCTGGCACTCGGCTTTGGCACCGACACATTTTAAGGCGCACAGGAAAAGGCATTGAGATTGGGGGGTGGGGGTGACACTGAGTGCTCCACTTACAACCCAGCACAGGCATTCACGGAGCTCATGAACAGAGCCAACTGTACTCTCCTGACCTCAGAACGATCCACCATTTCCCTGGAAGGTCACACAGTGGCCAAGTGGCAGGAGCAGGTTTTGAATCCAGGCCACCTGACCTCAAAGTCCCTGCATCAACTCCCAGAGGGAGTCTGACTGCCTGCCCATCCCAGCCCCCATTCTTCTCTTTCAATGCCACTGTTCACCCCTTTCATCTCCATCTCTTTGACTTTTAGGTATTTGTATCTTGTTGCTCACCTCCACTGAGA